TTACGAGGCATACCTCTCGTAAACCCAAAAACCTAATAACCCCAACCCCTAGACCCTAAACCGTAAAACCCAAAACCCCTAGACCGCAAAACCCTGTAACCCTACAGCCCGACCATCCCAGAATTCCGCGCCAGAGTGGCAATGGCAACCTTGCTCTTCAGCTCTTCCTGCAGCTGCTCTACCATTCCTGGCATCAGCGAGGGCGTTGCTTCGGTTCAGGGCTTCGGCGCTGGGGGCTACAAGTTCAGGGTTTGGGTTTAGGGCTGTTTGGGTTTGTGGTTTGCGCTTTCAGGCTTGAGTTTAGGGCCTCTTTGGGGTTTAGGGTTTAGGGTTGAGGGTTGGAGCTCAAGGCACTTACGCTACGGGCCCAAGTACTCGCCTTTGTTGTACGTTTTGTTGGTCCTGTAGCTGTATAGGAACCCCGTTTAAGGCCAACGCTGCTTTTGTACGACAACCGTCCATGGGACGCTTAGGGCCTATGATGCGAAACAACGATCCCAGCCCTCGGCAAGAACCCCTCATTTAGGCATCAGGGTTCAGGGTTTAGGGTTTAGGGTTTAGGGTTTAGGGTTTAGGGGTTTAGGGTTTAGGGTTTAGGACATCATTCCCGTCCATGCCTCAATTTTAAAGCAATCTTCCGAACAAACTTCTCATCCGAAGCCATGCACGGCAGTGCTTGCTCAGAGAACCCCCAAGCCACGACGAAAGGAGAAGCCAACTATGTACGTATATGCAACATCTCCTTCAAGACCTTATGGAGTTGGATAGGCCTTTGAAGGAGGCGATACAGTAAACAATGACCCATCGACCCCTTCAAGCTAAGCCAAAGCCAGAGGCACGCTGCAGATCGTCACAGCGCTTCTGCGACTCCTTCGGATTCGCTCCGTGCTTCATGCATAGATGCCCGCATAAGGTTATGTTATGTTCCAGTGCTCTACAAAGCTGAAACAGACTGTGGCTGCCAAGCGCTAGTCTAAAAAAGGGGGAACACGAAACCACCTATATATATATATATATAGATTACAGCTTTTGCGGTTAATGACGCCGTCAGGGATGCGGGGTGGGTCGTCCCTGGTCCGACAAGTCGTTGCTTTGTTCCGGCGCCAGCAAGCGGAGGACCGTGCACGGCCGCCCGACGCCCCAGCTGCAGCTTCCCGGGATGGCATTTTGTGCCCAATCGTACCACTTCAAATGCTCTTCATTCCGCTGCGTTTTTTGCAGAAGCACACATCCGTCACACGGAACTGACCGAAGAGTGCACGGAAAGCCGGCTTCCATGTCGCGTCTTCCAACATCCACCATAGCTTAAAATTGTTAAGTAGTTCTCGGCCCGGGAAGGGAATTTCACATTCTTTGCAGCACATAGCTACCTGATCGCAAGTAGCTGGCTCAACAGGTCCCATAGTAGTAGTACCAGGACACGATCTCGGAGCGTTTTCGCTTCACGAGACAGTCTTAGCTGGATTTCTTGCTTTTTCATCATGTCTTCAGAAACAATGGATTCTAGATTACACTAGACCTTTGACCCCAGCCCTAAACCCTATAATAAACTCTGAACCCTCAACCCCCTAAACCCTAAACCCGAAAAACCAGAGATGGTCAAACTCCGGGAGAATCGGAGCCACAAAACTTTGGGTTTGGGGCTTCCAGGCTGTAGGTGGGAATCCCTGAAAGTTTAGGGTTTAGGGTTTCCTTGAACATAAGGGTGCCGTTCTTGGTGTCACATAGTTTTGAGAAGAAGACCTCGAAAGAAAAGGGTCTCAGGGATACGATTGGGCGACCTAGTTAAGGAGGAGGCACACAAAGTGACAGGGAGGGCGACAACAGACCCCCTCAATCCGGTCCCTTTTAAGAGAGCCAGAAGTAGTAGGGTTAAGAAGGGTGCCCTTTAAGGGGTCTCCCATTGCAACCATCTACTTGTCCAGTACCTAGGGAACTAAAGGTTAGCCTTAGGAGATATAGGGATTTCGATTTCGGTACACCAAAAAGGTTAAAGGTTACCTACTCTACTAGTAAGTACATAGCATGGACCCTTAGGTGCCCTAAGCCCTCAGCCCTGAAACCCAAACATCTGAACCCAAACCTTACAAGCCCGCAAAACTCTAAAACCCTAAAACCCTAAACCCTAAAATCCTACACTCTAAACCCTAAAACCCTAAACTCTTAACCCAACCGAAACCCCAAAGCCCCTTTCGCAGCCTAAACCCTAAACCCTAAAACCCTGAACTCTTAACCCAACCAAAACCCCAAAGCCCCCGTTTCGCAGCCTAAACCCTAAACCCTAAAACCCTGAACTCTTAACCCAACCAAAACCCCAAAGCCCCCGTTTCGCAGC